CCGGTGCGGTTTTGCGACCGCGTCCGGGCTTGCTACCGATCGCTTTCGTGCAAAAGTTGCAGCGCGACTTCTTGCTCCTAGTCCTTTTTGTGTTTTCTTGCTGGGTTCCTGCTGCCTCTGCTTCCGCTTGTCTCGGCCAGGTACTTCGTCGACTACATCATCCCGCCGATGACTCGGACACGGAATCGGTTCTACCGGTTCCAGGCAGGAGGGTTTGTGTGGTTCGCCGCTTTCGTGCTGCCGCTGCCCCGCTGCGGCAACTGCCCGGTCCGGTCTGCTGCTGCCACCCTGGCACCTGCTCGTGTGCTCTCTCCGGATTCTCGGCCTTTGCGTGGGCGCTCCAGGTCGCCCCTGTCTCTACTTTCCGGTCCGGCGTCATCTTCCGATGCGGGTTTGGACCCTGAGCTTTTGGCGCTCTCCTCGGTCCCTCGGCCTCCGCGGCTTCCCCCTCCCTTCGACTCTCCGGATCGCTCTTCCGACTCCAGCTGGGCTAAGGTTTCGCTTGACCCCTTGGTCCTTGGTGCCCTCTCCGGCTGGCCCTGTGAATCGTTGGTCGGGTCTCGGCCTTCGGCCCTCGTATCGCCCACCTGTGCTTCACTCCGGCGTGCCCTCCGGCTTCCGCCCTGTGCTTGCACCTTCTATTCCTTTCCGGTCGGGTTCGGTATCTCACTCGGACCCTTCCCCGAGCGCACCTCGGGTCGCCAGCCCTCCCAGGATGTCCTTTTCTGTTGCTCGGCTGGCGCCCCACGTGCCGGTATACCAACCTCTCCCGGCCGTCCCCGCCTCTCTTCCCCCTGTCTTCCGGGTCCCGGGAGTGCTGGCTACTACACCCTTCTCCTCCTCGCATCCCTCTGCCTTTCCGGTTCCTTCTGAGGCCCCCTCATCTATGCGGAGCCTGGCTGAAGCCTCTATGCAAAAGCTCCGTGACACATGGTTAGACCTTATCAATGAGTTTGGTGAAAACTCTGCGCTGTTCACGTCGACCCGGGCTTCTTCTCAGCCCGAGGCGCTAATCGCCCGTGTCATCGTTTCTTTTTCGGTCAGCACGCTCAGCAGGTACTTCGCGGTTTGGTCCGGTTGGGCTGCTTGGTGCGTGGTCTACTCCTGCTCGCCGTGCTTGCCTGCTCCCGAATCTGCCTCCGGCCCGCCTCCCGAAGCGTTCGTTTCATCGGCGCACATAGTGCCAAGGTGACCTTGCTCAGTTGGGCCCGGCAGCTCAACTTTCCATCCGACCTTCGTCGCATTCAAGGGCATCATCGTTTGTCCGGCGCGGACGCTTCGGTCGCTCTCTATAGTAGAGACGATATCGGCCCCATGGTCTACCTCCAGCGGGCCCTGGCGTTCCACATTCGTTCTGGGTTTCGTCCGATGCAGCCCTTGGCGCGCGGTCTAGCCGAGCCCCTTCCGGACTTCCCTGTACAGCTCCCGGCGGCTGTCCCTCTGGGTACAGAACCGCTGTTCCCGGCCTTTCCCGGTTTGAACCTCTCTCTTCAAACCCCGGTTACCACTGACCCGGTTCCTCAGCCGGCCTCTCCGGTGGTTTCGGGCCACTCTCCCCCGTCTTCCGGTCAAGACACTAGCGCCATTCATTCCAGCCCCGGATGCCGAGGCTCAAATGGTCGCCGAGGCATCGGCGCTGCTTCCTCCTTCCTCTTCAGATGAAATCTGACCCGGTCACTTCTCTATTTTTGCACAATTATCGCAGCAACGTGGTTCATGCAGCCGTGCGGGTTGAGGCCCACGCCGCGCGCGGCCTGGAGGTCTCTGATCCGGCTGGGTCCGGCACCGTTTGGGTTCGTCCCGCCTGCGGCTCCCAGACTCACCAGTTGGCTCCGGACTCTTTGTGCGACTCGGTTCCACCGGGCACTACGCTGTGTCTCCGAACCGCGTGTCTCACCCGTTTTTCCACGGTACCCTAGATTTGGCTCCAGAGCTTTGCGGGTAAAAATCGCCCGGTGGTCTATCCAATCCGACGTCGTTTTCCTTGCTTGCTCTTAGCCTTGCTTGCTTCCCGCAGCCGTTTCGGTTCCCTTCTCCCCCTGGTGTCGGTCGCTCTCCCCCGTCTTCCTGTCTACATGGCTGACCCGATCGAAGACTTCTCTCCCGCCTCCGTTCCGCCCGAGCAGGCAGGACGTCTGGACCTGGACTTGCTACGACGCCTGGCCACTTTGGAACAACGAGCCAGGGATGTGGAGTCTGGTCTGGATGCCGCTCGCACGGAAATCACGGAGGACCAGCACGTCGCCCGCCACTTCCGGGCTTCAGTTGGGAACCTCATTGAACGCTCCAACGCGCTCATGAATGAATATACCTTCATGCAGCGCTCTCGTTCGGCCTTCTTGTTGGCCTTCCGCACGGCCCTCACCGCTGTCATAGATGTGCTGCGCACATTTCGTGACACAGCGGTATGACCTCCGCCGGTCTCGAGTAAAACTGCGTTTTGCTCGCATGCCTGCTCGGTCCGCCTCGCGTTACGTCTCTCCGCAGCTGTTTTGGCTCTTCTCCCTCCCCTGCCTTCTTGTCCCGCGGGTCCTGCCCTCTCCATGGCTGCCGCCCGCTTGGATGATGCTTCGGAGGTCCTCGGCTCCTTGCGGACTGGAGCGCTCCACCTTCGGTGGCCGCGCGTCTCAAGGCGGCCAACTTTCTCACTCTAGGCCCCCGGATGCTTCCATCGACCAGTTTGTGGTGTCTGTCCTCGGCGTCGCTGAGGACCACTCCCTGATGACCAGCCCGGAGGCCGCCGTTCTCCGTCGCCTGGTCATCTTGGCCCAAGACTCCATTCCTGGACCTCCGGCCCCGGCTTCGTCCTCCGGCCTCTCTTCCGGTCCGGTTTCATCGAAACTGTCACCGGACGCAGTTCTGAAGCTCCGGTCCCAGTTTCAGAAATCATAATTCGGGGAACTCCTCAGCCGGGATACCACACCCTCGGTGGAGTTCCTGTCTGCACTGAAGCAGCAGATTGATTCCAAGGCCGGCCTCCCCTTGGATTGCTTGGCGTTTCCGCACATCCGAAAAGGATGCGGCGGCGTGGCAGGAATCCCGCCGCCCCCGGTCGGACCGCCAGCTCCTCCGGACCCTTCTGGAAGTGGATGAGGAGCCTTCCGGTCCGTCGATTCCCATTCATAATTCCCATCCGGTGGAGTCCACGGTCCGCCGCGCCTGCGCCATGCTAGCGACCGCGCTAGCCATCATCTGCTTGTCATCAAACGGTTCAATGACCGTTTTCTGTCCTTTGCCTTGGCTCAGCCTCTGGACTCCACGCTTCGGGCCCCGTCCTTGCCTGAGATCCTTGCCGCCGACCGGTCCGTGTGGGAGTCCGTTTGGGCCCTGATGCGCGATCATGCCCGTCCTCCGCCCACGCTGCAGCCTCGCTCCTAAGGGAGCTCCCAAGGGTAAAGCCAAGGTCGCCCCAGTTCACGCGCTAGGCTTCGGCCTGGCGGGCCCCCTCCGTTTCGCGCTCCGGAATTCCCCACTGGTGTCCCCGGTCTATCCGCGACAGGAGCCAGGCGATTAGCCGTCTCTTCGCTCCTCCACCGGCGTAATCGGGAACTCCTGGCGTTGGTTTCGGCCGCCGAAAGGTTGTGGTCATGGAGAATCCTGTTTCCAGTTTGTTGTGGCTGGACCCCGAAGTCGTGTCCTGGCAGAAGTCCGCTGCTCCCTTCGCCGCCTCCGTTACTGCCTGTGCCCATGGGCTCAACGTCTCCAAGCGCTGGCTGTTCTGTTCCAACTCGGACGACATCTGCTCTCTGGCGTCAGCCTGTTCTCACGCGCCGGGCTCGCATCCGGTCCTCGTTGGTAAACGCCTGTCCGACGGTTCTTTTGCGACCCGTCTGACCGCCCAATATCCGGTTTCCCTCTCCAATGCGCTGTCGGCCATACTGGCACCTGCGCTCGGCCCCACTGACGCTCTCGTGCCTTGGCGTCAGTGGCGCTCCCTTCTGCCCCGCAAGCTCTCCTGGGACCCTCCCAACAAAAGGGTGGAAGATGGTGCGGGCACCTCCAGCTCTGCCTTCTGGCATCGTTTTTCCGGTCCGGACACTTTTAAAAGCCTCCGGTCCCGTTGGTCCAGCCGCTTGCTTCTCCCCGGGGTCCTGACTTCTCTCATCGGTCGTCTCAACTCCGATTCCAAAGATCCTCCTCTTTCAGACGAGGACTTATCTCCCTATCTTTCCGATCTCCGGCTGTTTCTCAACATTACGGACGATGCCGTTTGGGAAGCCCTCCTGTCTGTGGATGAAGGCCAGCCCTTTCGCCTGCGCCTTCTCCACTGTCTTGCCCTTATACTGGGCGACGCGGATTCGGACTACGCCCGTCTCCTCCAATCCGGGGTCCCGCTGGGCGTCGACTTCCCCATGCCCCCCTGTCCGGTCCTTCCTCCTCCGGACATTCGCTCGGATGCGCCAATCGATCTGCAGCACTGCGAATCATCGTGGCAATCAGCTCTCTCGCATCCGGACATCGTGGACGACCTTCTGGCCACAGAGATTGCATCCGGATGGATAGAAGCAGTTCCTGGAGGGGACGCGGAGCTCCGGTCCCGGTTCGTTAAAACGGCTGTTGGGAAACTGGGGGTCGTGGTCTCCGACCACCGACCTCCGCGCTTAGTGGTAGATAGCTCCGTTTCCGGGGTAACTTCTCACACTCAGCTCCCTAACCGGTGTCCCAACCCCACCTTGATGGACGTTCGACTTTGCTCTCCGGTCTTTTCCGCTAGAGAGCGCCTATGCGCTCTGGTTCTGGATGTTGCTGGCGCTCATCGCCGGATCCGCATCCGCAAATGCGACTGGGGCCTTTTATGTTTCCGGCACCGGGGTACCCTGTACCTGTCCAAGTGCCTTAACTTCGGGGCTCGTGCCAGCAGTTTCTACTGGTCCAGGCTGGCCGGCCTTCTGGTCCGGTTATCCCATCGCCTCTGGTACGTGTCCTATTCCGGCTTCATCTACGTAGATGACTTCCTGGCCGTGCTTGAGGATGTCAGTGCGCCACTCTGGTCCGGCTTACTGGTTGTCTTTCTTTTGATCCTCCGGGTCCCATTAAGCTGGCGCAAGGCCAGCCTCTCCCCCCGTGTGGTCTGGATCGGCTGGGAGTTTGACTTCTCTCTCCTTCTCGTCCGCCTGGAATCTTCCAAGGCTGTCCGGATTCTGGCCCTCATAGATTTTCTCTTGCACTGCCGGTCTTGTTCTCTCACAGACCTAGAGCGCATCACCGGCAAGCTCTTGTGGGTGTCTGGCCTCTTTCGTTGCCTCCGGCCCACCCTTACCCCGCTCTACCGGGATCAGCACAGACTTCCCCCGGTCATGTGCGCCCTCTCGCCGGATCAGTGGCTGTCTCTGCGGCCTTTCATCACCCCTGACTTGCGGATCACCCGTAAGTTGGGTATTCCGTCAATTCAAGTGGGTGCTTCTCTTCTCCGGGTGGGCCAATCGGCTATCTCCTCCTTATCGGACCTACCCGCTAATCCGGTTGAGTCGCGTCGGGTCTGGATTCAGCTCACTGCCACCCGCAGCCCTACACGCACAGTTTCTGATGAGTCCAGGGTCGCTCTCCGGCTCTGGCGCGATCTCATTGCCTCCGGCGTGCCCTTCCGGTCGCTCCGTTTGCCACCTACGTTCGCCTTGGAAGCTTTTGCGGATGCGTGCTCCTCTGCGACGTCCGT